TTGCAAACTAATTTTTAAGGTTATGAGAAGCATGGTAAATCATTAATCAAAATTTACTTGTTTATGCCCCCCTCAGGAATTGATATAATTTTGTCAAATAAATGTATTTCAATATTAAAAAATCACACAATCCTGAACCTGTGGTTTATGAATCCGTGTTGAATTTTTAGCCTTGACATCCAGATTTTTGGAAAATGAATCAAAATTCATGACGATTTCTCAGCTTTTCGATTTTTCGATTTTTCAATTTTTGTATTTCTGGATTACTCCATTTTTCGGTACTTCACTTTTAGGATATTTTTTTAACTTCTCGATTTTTTAATTTTTCATTTCTTAATTTTTCATTTTTCAGTTTCACAATGTTCCGATATTTGCGTTTTACGATTTTTGTATTTTGCGTTCCATCAGTTTTTCGATTTTTTGACTTTTGGACGTTTAGATTTTCCCATCCCCATTTTTGAATTTTTCAATTTTCTGGTTTTTAGTTTTTCAATTTCTCAATTTTTAAAATTTTTCGACTTATCAATTTCTGGATCTTTAAATTTTTTTATTTTTCTTCGACATTTCCGTTTTTCGATTTTTCGGTTTTCAAGTTCTCGATTTTTTGATATTTCGGTTTCTGAATTTTTAGATTTTTTGTTTCAATTTGTCGATTTCTCGATTTTTTGCATTTTCGATTTTTCAGTTTTCAAATTTTCGATTTTTTGATGTTTCGGCTTCTCAGTTTTTTAATTCTTCAACTTTTCGATATTTCAGTTTTTTGATTTTTCTACTTTTCGATTTCTGTATCTTTCAATTTTCCGATTCTTCTATTTTTGTTCGATGTTTCAGTTTTTAGATTTTTCGATTTATTATTTTATCAATTTTTCTATATTTCAAATTTGAGATTTTTCAACATTTGGATTTTTATATTTTTCGATTTTTCGATACTTAAATGTTTCGATTTTTCAGTTTTTCATTATTTTGATTCTTCAATTTTTCGACATTTCAATTTTTCGAATTTTAAAATTTTAGATTTTTCAATTTTTTGATGTTTTGGTTTCTCATTTTTACGATTTTTCAACTTTTCGGTTATAGATTTTTGGGTTTTTCAATTTTTCGATCTCAGGAGTTATCAAGACTGTTGATTGTTTAATTTCCCTCCCGATTTCTCTCTTTTTCAATTTTTTTGATTTTTGATTTTTCGATTTTATGCCATTTTGATTTCTAGGTTTTTCAGTTTTTGGGTTCTTCAATTTTTCGATTTTTTAAATTTCTACATTGTTAGATTTTTCAACTTTTCGCTTTTACCATTTTTTAACGCTTCAATTTAGCTATTTTTTATTTTTTCTTAAATTTTTTGATTTCTCGACGTCTCGGTTCTTCGATTTTTCGATTTCTCGATTTTTCAAGTTTTCAATTTTTCGAATTTTTGAATACTAGATTTTTCGATTTTTTTTCGATTACTCCGAGGAGATTGGAATAATTCCACCCTTCTCGGATTGCTCGATATTTCGATTTTTCAACTTTCTGGAATTCGATATTTCGATTTTTCAAGTTTTCGATTTATAAAATCTTTGATTTTTAAATTTTAGTTTTCTCGATTGATCGATTTTTCGGCTTTTTGATTTCTCGATTTTTTGATTTTCTTATTCTCGATTTCTGTTTCGATTATTTTACAATTTTTAAATTTTAGATTATTCAATTTTTTGACTTTTTCATTTCAGATTTTTTGGTTTTTCAATTTTTAATGTTGTTAATTTTTCGATTTTTCAGATTTTCAATTTTTTGATTCGATTTTTTTTAGAGGTACATATTTTAAATTTTTCAAATTTATAATTTTTGGATTTTTCGATTTTGTATTTTGGATTTATCGATTTTTCTATTTTATGCCATTTTGATTTCTAGGTTTTTCCATTTTTCGATTTTTCGGCTTTTCAATTTATCAATCTTCCTGCTTTCTTCATGTTTCAACTTTTCAATTTTTCTATTTCCCAATTTTCTCAAATTTTTGTTTTAGAATTTCCAGTTTCTCATTTTTTCAGTTTTTGGGTTCTTCAATTTTTCGAATTTTTAAATTTCTACATTTTTAGATTTTTTAACTTTTCGCTTTTACCATTTTACCATTATTTTTCGATGTTTCGGTTTTTCGATTTTCAGATTTCTCGATTTTCAAAGTTTTCAGTTTTTCGAATTTTTCAATTTTTCGTAATTTTAAATACTAGATTTTTCGATTTTTTTTTGAAGTTTCGATTACTCCGAGGAGGTTAGAATAATTCCACCCTTCTCGAATTCTCGATCTTTCGATTTTTCAACTTTTTGGAATTCGATATTTTTTTTTCAAGTTTTCGATTTTTAAAATCTTTGATTTTTCGATTGTCCAATTTCCCATCCGATTTTTCGATTTTTCAATTTTTTAACTTGCTTTTTTTTTTTAATTAAATTTTCCAAATTTTTTATTTTTGGATTTTTCGATTTTGTTATTTAGATTTATCGATTTTCTGCTTTCTCGATGTTTCAACTTTTCAATTTTTCTATTTCTCAATTTTTTCATATTTCAGTTTTGGGATTTTCAGTTTCTCAATTTTTCAATTTTTCGGGTCTTCAACTTTTCGATTTTTCAATTTTTTGCTGTTATAATTTTTTTGATGCTTTGATTTAGCAGTTTTTAATTTTTTTTTAATTTTTCAACATTTTGATGTTTTTCGATTTTTTGTTTCTATTTTCCGATTTCTCGAATTTTTTGCATTTTCGTTTTTACAATTTGCAAGTTTTTTGACTCTAATTTCTCGATCGTTCAATTTTCGATTCTCCAGTTTTTGTTCGATGTTTCAGTTTTTCGATTTTTCGATTTATTGTTTTGTCAATTTTTGGATACTTTAACTTTGGGATTTTTCAACATTTCGATTTTTTTAAATTTTACTGTATCGATTTCTCGATTTTTAAATTTTTTATTGTTCACTTTTTTGACGTTTCAAGTTTCCGAATTTTAAAATTTTATGTTATTCAGTTTTTTGATTAAGTTTTTGACTTTCCGTTTTTTAATATTGTTGATTGTTGGATTTTTCAATTTTTCGGTTTTTAAGTTTTCAATTTTTAAATTTTTTCCATTTTCCAATTTTTCAGTTTTTTGACCTTTGGAGTTATTGAGATTTCGATTTTTCAATTATTTGTTTTTCGATTTATCGATTTTTTTGTTTGAATTTATCGATTTCTCGATCTTTTGATGTTTCGATTTTCCGATTTCTTAATGTGCCGATTTTCCGATTTCTAGGTTTTTCCATTTTTCGACTTTTCGCCGTTTCGATTTGACAATCTTCCTGCTTTCTCGATGTTTCAGCTTTTCAATTTTTAGTTTTAGGATTTTCAGTTTCTCAATTTTTCAGTTTTTCGGTCCTTTAATTTTTAGATTTTTTAAATTTCTACATTTTTCGATTTTGCCATTTTTTGATGCTTCGATTTAGCTATTTTTTATTTTTATTTTTTTTAATTTTTAAACAATTCGATATTTTTCGATTTTCCAATTTCTCGGTTTTTTACATTTTCGATTTTTCAAATTTTCAAGTTTTCGATTGTTTGATGTCTTGGTTTCTCAATTTTTCGAATTTTAGATTTTTCGGTTTTTTTATTTTTTGACTTTGAGATCTCGATGTTTCAATTTTTCGATTGTTCAGTTTTTGTTCGATGTTCCAGTTTTTTGATTTTTCGATTTATTGTTTTGTCAATTTTGGATACTTTAATTTTGGGATTTTTCGAAATTTTAAAATTTCGATTTCTCAATTTTTCAATTTTTTGGTTCTTCAATTTTTCGAGTTTTTAAATTTTAGGTTATTCAATTGTTTGATAAAGGTTTTTACTTTTCGGTTTTAGGTTATTGGGTTTTTCAATTTTTCGATTTTTAATATTATTGATTGTTCAATTTTTCGATTTTTAAGTTTTCGATTTTAAAATTTTTCCACTTTCCAATTTTTCAGTTTTTTGACCTCTATTGAGATTTCGATGTTTCGATTTTTCTGTTGTTCAATTTCCCTCCTGATTTTTCGATTTTTCAATTATTTGTTTTTCGATTTATCAGTTTCTCGATTTCTCGATCGTTTGATGTTTGGATTTTCCGATTTCTACGTTTTTCAATGTTTCTACTTCCCAGTTTTTCCAAATTTTAGTTTAGGGATTTTCAGTTTCTCAATCATTCAGTTTTTCGGTTCTTTAATTTTTCGATTCTTTCGATTTCCCAACGTCCGGATTTTTCGATTTCTCAATTTTAATTCGATTGTTTTTAAGTTTCGATTAGTCCGATGAGGTTGGAATAATTCCGTCGTTCTCAGATTGCTCGATGTTTCAATTTTTGGACTTTTCGGTATTCGATATTTTGGTTTTTCAAGTTTTAGATTTTTTAAATTTTGTATTTTTCGATTTTTTGATTTTCACATTTCTCGATTTCGTCAGTAGTATTTGACTACTAAGCCAAAATTTTGAATAGTTTTTGAAATATAACGTGATAAAGAATCAAAAAACTCAATTTTCAAATCACGAAAATTCAAGAAATAAATCGATTTTCTATGAAATCTTAATATACAAAAATCAAATTTTAACACGAATAGAAGTGGAATGACAAAAACTTTATGATAATTTTAAATGGGTAGATTTTTGACATCTGGCAACACCGCCACGAATAAAAGGTTTCTCATGTTTTATGCCATGAGTGTGTTTTTGGCATGCTACTTTGCGTATTGTGTAGTAAAATTTTCCACTTTATTGGTACCATTTAGGTCGACAGCGCTCAAACAAGCTCCCTAGTATAATCTATAAAGACCCTCGTCAATCCGTGACAGATGACGCATGCCACTTTGATATTTATGAAACTTTGGACTTGTATACCGGCAAACACAAAGATCAATAGTAAATAAACAAATTATTTCGTAATGCTGAAAGCCCGCCACAGTTTTCTATAGTTGTTACGACCCTGTTCAGCGTTTGACGACTCCAATTGAACCATCGTTGACGGGTTTCTGTTGTTGCAGGCGCCAGCATCAGAGCAACACGACATGGCACGGCACAACCGCGTTGCCCGGTGTGCAAGGAGCCTCCATCAAGCAGAGCCCGGATAGGTTAAAGGGCACAACCTGCGACCTGTTCGAGCTGCTAGAGAAAGCCCAAAGTTCCAGATTAGATGACCAAAGATGTGTATTACCAGCGTATTTCAATCAGGTAGGTCTAAATTGGCGAAAACATTCCGCAATCGAATCCAACCAGACCCGCTACCTCCAATCAGCGTTTGCGTAAATGGGTCGAGTCGTTTTGATTATTTATATGCAAGTAATTCGTCGATAATAATCTAAAACCAGGCCGTCATAATTTAATGCATTTTATACATTTATTTTGCATAAATAAAGCGGCGTTTTCACTTTTGATTCGATGTGCTTAGATTCACTCGTCCCAGTTTCGTCGACGACTTGTGTGGCGATGACTACGTCGGAGCGACGGCCACAAATCCACAAATAAATAACCCATTTTTATCCATTTTACGTTTATATCCGAGGTTTTACTACACCCTTTGACGTTTATTGTTGCTGTTTATCATCGGCGACGCTCTCTCCAGACCCAATAGCCAAAATAAATATTTAATTTGGTGCATTTCGGTAGTGGAAACGCGGCTATTCATCATTCGCGATGTTTTGTATGTTTTCATATTTACAGAGGCACTTAATGTGACGTTTGTTGAATAATTTCGTAACAAAATACGCGCTAGGCTGCCTCGGCGTGGTTTATTTTAACAGTTGGCGGAGTGTTTGGCCCCGCTTGAAATCCCTAAACTAATCGAAAACAAACTCGCTGTCAGACCTTCGTTTGATTAATCAAGGCTTGGAGAGTTTATTGTGGCTCGTTAATTAGAAAGTGCTGTCTTCGGAAGCTTAGCTTAGCAGCGAATCGAAAAGTCGAGGCGATGGGTGTATAGTTGGTTGCCTAATATCGTCCGAAATCTAATCCATTCAGGATGTTTTTAGACAAAAGCGAGCCATGAAATTTTTTCTTCACATTGGATAAACTGATTCGTGACAAAACCGATTTATTATTATTTAGAAATCCTACCGCACGATCAGAAATGACTGAGTCTGTTGGCAATCCTGGATTTTTAATTTAGTACAATGTCCCGAATTTTCAATTTTTCCATGTTTCGATTTTTCCATTTCGCGATTTTCGACTTTTCGAATCCTCAATTTTTTGAAGTTTCAGTTTTTGGCTTTTTGAATTTTCCTTCGTTTTTTCAATTTTCTGATGTACCGACTTATCAATTTTTCGATTTCTTGATTTATCGAAATATCATTATTTCGATTTTTCAAATATTCAGTCTCTCGATGTTTCAATTACCCCATGTTCCGATTTTTCCAATTTTTCAATTCTTCAGGTTTTTGTGTTCTCAATATTTCGATTTTCTACACTTTTCGATTTTTCACGTTCGCGATTTTTCAATTTTTCGATTTCTTGATTCTTTGCTTTTTCGATTTTTCATTTTTTTTTTTTTAATATTTCGATTTTTCGATTTCTAACTTTATAGAAATTTCCATATTTCGATTTTTAAATTGTACAATCTCCTGATTTTTCAATTTTTCGATGTTTCGATTCCTCAGGTTTTTGTATTCTCAATTTTTCGAAGTTTCTGTTTTGGGATCTTTCAATTTCCCTTCGTTTTTTCGATTTTCCGATTAATCGACCAACAATTTTTCGACTTTTCGATTTTCCGATTTTTTAATTTTGTGCTTTTTTTGATTTTTCATTTTTTTTTATTTTTCCTTTTTCGATGTTTCGATTTATCGAATTTGGGCTATTTCGATTTCTCTATTTTTCAGTTTTTCGATTTTTCGATCTCTTCATGACTCAATTTCTGAATGTCAATTTTTCAATTTTTCCATGTTTCGATTTTTTCATTTCGCGATTTTCGACTTTTCGAATCCTCAATTTTTCGAAGTTTCAGTTTTGTGCGTTTTGAATTTTCCTTTTTTCCATTTTCTGATGTACCGACTTACAAATTTTTCGATTTCTTGATTTATCGAAATTTCATTATTCCGATTTTTCAAATATTCAATCTTTCGATTTTCCGGTTTTTCGATGTTTTTCGATTTCTCTATCTATTCATGATTCAGTTTCTCGATGTTTCAATTTCCCCATGTTTTGATTTTTCCAATTTTTCAATTCTTCAGGTTTTTGTGTTCTCAATATTTCGATTTTCTTCAATTTTCGATTTTTTACGTTCGCGATTTTTCGACTTTTCAATTTTTCGATTTCTTGATTTTTGCTTTTTCGATTTTTCAATTTTTCGATGGTTCGATTTTTCCAATTTTTTCAATTCTTCAGGTTTTTGTATTCTCAATTTTTCGAAGTTTCAGTTTTGGGATCTTTCAATTTCCCTTCTTTTTTTCGATTTTCCAATTTATCGACTATCAATTTTTCGACTTTTCGATTTTTTATTTTGTGCTTTTGATTTTTCATTTTTTTTTATTTTTTCTTTTTCGTTGTTTGGATTTATCGAATTTGGGCCATGTCGATTTCTCTGTTTTTCAGTTCTTCGATTTTTCGATCTCTTCATGACTCAATTTCTGGATGTTTCAATTTTTCAATTTTTCCATGTTTCGATTTTTCATTTCGCGATTTTCGACTTTTCGAATCCTCAATTTTTCGAAGTTTCAGTTTCGGGCGTTTTGAATTTTCCTTCATTTTTTCCATTTTCTGATGTACCGACTTACAAATTTTTCGATTTCTTGATTTATCGAAATTTCATTATTCCGATTTTTCAAATATTCAATCTTTCGATTTTCCAGTTTTTCGATGTTTTTCGATTTCTCTATCTATTCATGATTCAGTTTCTCGATGTTTCAATTTCCCCATGTTTTGATTTTTCCAATTTTTCAATTCTTTAGGTTTTTGTGTTCTCAATATTTCGATTTTCTTCAATTTTCGATTTTTTACGTTCGCGATTTTTCGACTTTTCAATTTTTCGATTTCTTGATTTTTGCTTTTTCGATTTTTCAGTTTTTTTTTAATATTTCGATTTTTCGATTTCTAGGTTTATAGAAATTTGCATATTTCGATTTTTAAATTGTACAATCTCCCGATTTTTCAATTTTTCGATGTTTCGATTTTTCCAATTTTTCAATTCTTCAGGTTTTTGTATTCTCAATTTTTCGAAGTTTCAATTTTTGGGATCTTTCAATTTCCCTTCGTTTTTTCAATTTTCCAATTTATCGACTATCAATTTTTCGACTTTTCGATTTTCCGATTTCTTAATTTTGTGCTTTTTCGATTTTTCATTTTTTTTTTCTTTTTTCTGTTTCGATATTTGGATTTATCGAATTTGGGCTATTTCGATTTATCTATTTTTCGGTTTTTCGATTTCTCGATCTCTTCAAGATTCAGTTTCTCGATGTTTCAATTTTATCAATTTTTCCATGTTTCGATTTTTCCAATTTTTCAATTATTCAGGTTTATATATTCTCAATTTTTCAACTTTTTCAATTTTTCAGTTTTGGCATTTTTTAATTTTCCTCCGTTTTTGATAAATTTTTCGATGTTTCGTTTTTTCGGTTTCTTAAGTTTTTGCTTCTTCGATGTTTATCAGTCTCTCTCATTTTCCAATTTATCACTCTCTCTCATTCTCCCATTTATCACCCTCTCTCTTATTCTCCTATTTATCACTCTCTCTCTCATTCTCCCATTTATCACTCTCTCTCATTCTCCAATTTATCACTCTCTCTTTCATTCTCCCATTTATCACCCTCTTTCTCATTCTCCGATTTATCACTCTCTCTCATTCTCCCATTTATCACTCTCTCATTCCCCTATTTATCGCTCTCTTTCATTCTCCCATTTATCACCCTCTCTCTTTCTCCCATTTATCACCCTCCCTCTGATTTTCTCATTTATCGTCCTCCCTCTCATTTTCCCATTTATCACTCCCTTTCAATCTCCCATTTATCATATTTGGGCTATTTCGATTTCCTTATTTTTCAGTTTTTCGATGTTTCAATTTCCCCATGTTTCGATTTTTCCTATTTTTCAATTTTTCAATGCAGGTGTTTGTGTTCTCAATATTTCAATTTTCTTCAACTTTCGATTTTTCCAGTTCACGATTTTTCGACTTTTCGATTTCTCAATTTTTCGACTTTTCAATTTTTTGATTTCTTAATTTTTTGCTTTTTCGATTTTTCAATTTTTTTTAATATTTCGATTTTTCGCTTTCTAGGTCTATAGAAATTTCCATATTTCGATTTTTAAATTGTACAATCTCCCGATTTTCCAATTTTTCGATGTTTCGATTTTTCCAATTTTTCAATTCTTCAGGTTTTTGTATTCTCAATTTTTCGAAGTTTCAGTTTTGGGTTCTTTCAATTCCCCTTCGTTTTTTCGATTTTCCAATTTTTCGACTTTTCGATTTTCCGATTTCTTAATTTTGTGCTTTTTTGATTTTTCATTTTTTTTTATTTTTCCTTTTTCGATATTTGGATTTATCGAATTTGGGCTATTTCGATTTCTCTATTTTTCGGTTTTTCGATTTCTCGATCTCTTCATGATTGAGTTTCTCGATGTTTCAATTTTTCAATTTTTCCAATTTTTCAATTATTCAGGTTTATATATTCTCAATTTTTCAATTTTTTCAATTTTTCAGTTTTGGCATTTTTTAATTTTCCTCCGTTTTTTATAAATTTTTCGATGCTTCGATTTTTCGGTTTCTTAAGTTTTTGCTTTTTCGTTGTTTATCAGTCTCTCTGATTTTCCAATTTATCACTCTCTCTCATTCTCCCATTTATCACTCTCTCTCTCTCTCTCTCTCATTCTCCTATTTATCATCCTCTCTCTCATTCTCCCATTTATCACTCTCTCTCATTCTCCCATTTATCACCCTCTCTCTCATTCTCCCATTTATCACCCTCTCTCTTATTCTCCTATTTATCACTCTCTCTCTCATTCTCCCATTTATCACTCTCTCTCTCTCATTCTCCAATTTATCACTCTCTCTTTCATTCTCCCATTTATCACCCTCTCTCTCATTCTCCGATTTATCAGTCTCTCTCTCTTCATTCTCCCATTTATCACACTCTCTCATTCCCCCATTTATCGCTCTCTTTCATTCTCCCATTTATCACCCTCTCTCTCTTTCTCTCATTTATCACCCTCGCATTTTCCCATTTATCGCCCTCCCTTTCATTTTCCCA